TATCACAATGTATGCTGCTCGGCGAAAAATAATGTTTTTATATTTGTCACTGCACGACAACATCGACTGTAACGGCAAACCGCACACACAATGTGTTACACCAGTCACACAGCGTGCAACGTGTCGCGTGAAGATTTACCTTTCCTCTCCATGTCGGCTGGATCCGTAGCTTAGCCGTTAGCTACACAGCCAGTGATCGAATGTTCCACGCATGCGCACTGGCTCGCTATGTCGAAGGGAAGCTTCCTTGGTGACGTCTCTGCCCGTGTATCAAACCGTTTTTATGGATTTGAGGGCAAACTGCCTTATAAAGAAGTATTTAAAGCAGCCTCACTGATAGCCGTGCAGCTCGGGAATTTAACCTTTTATTTACATTTCGTGCATGTTTTAACTAAGGCAGCAGTGGAGGTAGGTGGGTTAAATGAACGGCATGATTAGTGACGTGATTCAGTGGCCCAGATTGGGATTAATATTAAAGTGTTGGTAACCTTTGTTATACTGGATGCTGATAGCAGTACAGAACAAGCTGACTGCATGGTTTGGTAAAAGGCAGGCTGGAATTTACATAGCTGGACACTTGATAGAATTGGCAGGCTCAAATTAATAGCTTCTATATTAGTAGTGCAATATTTTTTATCATGTATTTTTTTCGGACATTACAACATCAACAACAAAGGTTTAACGCATAAAGAAAATCAATGTTTAATTTACAAGCCTAGTGCAAGATTATGCAACTCAAATTGTCACACTGCAAAAAAAAATGGTGAAAAATATAATTTAGTTATTTATTTTAAATGTACTGGGGGGGAAATGCATATTTGATAAATTCATATTAGGTTTTAGGGCCATAATACAGAGCAAGTCATAATTCTACCAGCACAGTGGTGGGCAAGTGGTGGGTTTGTGTTGCATCCACAGCGCATGGATACCTTGCAGTCATTGAGGTGACCATGAATTTCTGTACGTACGTATGTACGTATGTATTCTAGAGATAAATGTGAGGCTGTCTGTCTGACAGCCAAAGTTTGCCTCATGCAATACTAGACTGATCTCAAGCATAGCAGCAAATCTACAAAAGAATGGCTTAAGGTGTTGCAATGGTCCAGCCTTAACTGATATGCTGTGGTGGGTCCTTAAAAGGGCTGTGCGTAAATGAATACCCACAAACCTCAACGAACTGACGCAAATTCCTCCTCAATGCTGTGACAGGCTGGTAATCACACAGTAAACTATTACTTCAATTTACTGCTGCTAAAGGTGATTCCACAAGTCCATGAATCATGGTAAGGCATCATAGTTAGACATAAGTGATTGGCTTGGAAATAAGGATAAAAAATTAAAAACAAAACATAATCTCTTAGAAATAAGTCTTTATTTTGTTAAACAAAGGACTTAAAGCAGTAGTTACTCTGCAACTGCAAACTGAAAATAGCTCAAGGGACCCTTCGATTGCTTATAAATACCAGCTCCACAAAGTATAAATACGAATCCCTCCTTTTACACATTTAAGCTGCATTTTTATTAAAAGCTATGGCACGACGCTTAAATTCATAGAAACCAACAACACACTAGCGGACACACACAATGTGTTGACGTACATACTAACAGTGATTGCTTCAAAACATGTGTGAAATTTTAAAAAACATGGAACATATATATTTACACAATTTGAGCAAAGCATGTACTATGCAGATTTCGCTTCATATTTATGGGCCTTGGTGAAAAAAATAATAATAAAACCCTATATAGGAAAAGGCTCAGATTTCATCTAACTAAATTAATCAAATTGATCAGTAAAATGTGAGAAATCTAGTTGGTGAGCATTAAAGTTCAGTGACTGCACAGAGAAGGCACATTGTCCCAATTGTCAAACACCTAAAAACACAGAAATGTACTTCTGTCACAGAAATTCAAGAATCGGGGGCAACTGCTTGGAAGTGGTTCAATTTTTCAAATAACAGAAAAATGCTCATCCATAAATTAATCAAAAAACAAAAACTAGCACAGCAATAGGTCAAAGTGTTTCAGCATCTCAGCGTCACAGTGAGGAGTCGAAATAAAGTCTAAATATTAAATAGAAAACTATTTTAGTTGTTGGCGAGAAGGGACGTTTTCCAGCAACTGACCAACATTAAGTCATTTATAAATAAGAATAATAACTTTTTTCTTATGTTTTCTGGTTATGTTTTCTCAATTAATAGACTAATAAGGGCTGGTGTGTGTCTGAGACTTTAAAGCATAAGTTATGTAGTCAAAAGCTTGGGTTGAACTGGTGGCGCGTCTCATTACTCTGTGTCATCCTCATCATCAAAGCTAGGTGGCTGGAAACTGCACACCTCCTCAAAGGTTAATCCTGCAAAAAAAGGAGAAGATGATTTGTTTCTTTACCGAGGAATACATCAGCATGCTGTCACTTTTAGCGCGAGAAGACGTACGTTTCCACTCATCGATCTGCAGCTCCCGGCTCTCGAAGCTCTGGTCATAAGGCTCGGCTTCAGGCTCGTCGTCTGGATCGTGGTATTGACCGAAGTAGGGGTGGGCCAGAGCTTCAGCTGCCGTTATCCTCTTATCCGTATCCAGAACCAGCATTCTCTCCAGAAGATCCACAGCTTAAAAACACATCCGCATGTAAACATGACTGAATCACACTCGATCCCATTGTTTCTTTATGCAAACTTTGTAAATCATAGGGAAAAAACAGGTTTTCTTTAGCATTACCAAGTGGGTTGGCGCCAATAAATACATCAGCAAAGCTCCTCTTGGGCATGTGTGGCAAGGAGCTGATGTAGTTTCTGGCCTGTGAAGACACATCAGAGTAAATCAAACATGAGTTCCTACAAACCGCAACATGTCGTGACACATTATTTCATTGAACTTTTTCCAACCTGTTCAGCTTTTCGATCTATCCACATCTGTGCTGCGCTTCCTGACGAGTGCAGTTTACAGTCAACAAGTTCCTCTTGTGATAATTAGAGCATCTTTAAAACTAGATTTATGAAGAATTATTATTGAGGAACTTAAGCTTATATTATGTATCGCTACAGAGTTCGACTCTTTGCCTGAAGTGAGACACATGCAGTCAAAAACCCGTTAGTGCCTATGAGTGCAAGTGTTTACACTGCAAACCTTGTTTCTAATATCCAATTCTTATAATGGCTTTTAATAAATATTTTTTAATAATTACAATAAAGTTAAAAAAATAATAATAAACCAGGTATCCTGTAAAAAGAAAGGACTGTTGTCTTTGTCTATTAGGGAAGCAAAGACTAAAAAAAGTATTACAATCATAATACTCTAAACCTCTCATGTAATTCAACGTGTAAATAAAAGTGTTATGGTGGAAGAAGATGGCACCTTTCTAAGGGGAAACAAAAAGAAAAAACACTGAACATCAAAATGCTGTTAGTAACCTTAACATTTAAATCGAGAAGTGCACTTTTTTAAAATCCAACTCAAGGTGCGTTTTGCAAATCACTGTTATAACCACGTCCAGCAAGCATGTCACACGACACAGGAGTGACTGAAACGGTAAGATTCTGTGTTTAATACGAGCTTTTTGCCCCAAGAGGTCGAGTTCCTCCTTGCGCCCCACTTGCCTCAAAAGGAGTTTGAGTTTTCCTTAAACCTTGAAGCTCTTTTTAAAATGTGGCTTCAAATATTAATACCTCCGCCATGGCGGTTATCTTATTGTGGCGATCGTGGCTCAAGAGTTGGGCGTTCGTCTTGTAATCGGAAGGTTGCCGGTTCGAGCCCCGACAGTCTCGGTCGTTGTGTCCTTGGGCAAGACACTTCACCTGTAGCCTACTGATGGTAGTCAGAGGGCCCGGTGGCGCCAGTGTCCGGCAGCCCCGCCTCTGTCAGTGCGCCCCAGGGCGGCTGTGGCTACAATGTAGCTTGCCATCACCAGTGTGTGAATGGGTGGATGATTGTGTATAGTGTAAAGCGCTATACAAATACAGACCATTTACCATTTATGGGCGTGTCATTCTGTCTGTAAACATGATAGATCGAAAAGTTTACGTCTTCCAGGTCATTTTCATTATTTATTGAAAAAAGTCTCATAACTTATAATTCTTACAAGTGTGGTAAAAGTACTGTATAAAGTCATATTTGACCTCTAACCTCTGCTTCAAGCTCAACAAATTGATCTGAAGGCTAAAGTGATAACATATAGCTTACTGCCACTGTTTGTATTGACAACATATAGGCATATAGGAAATGATAATGAGGGTTCAAAATATCACATTACTTTGGATCTCTGACCTCTTCTTCGAGGTCAAGTAAAATATCTTTTATCTTTAAACTATCATTCAAATTCCACTACCTTTGTATTGGCAACATTTAAGAAGAGATACTGGTATACTGGAATTCTAAATATCAACATAATAGTTTGCATCCAAATATGTCACATTTGACCTCTGACCTCATTTTTATATCTACCTTTCTTATAAGTTGAGCCTAAAATGTGTTTTATTTTTAAAGAAAGTGTTGCCAAGAGAAGGAGAATGAGCTGCCTACATAGTTGGAAATATACTGTAGAATATTATTATATAAGAAGCTCGAGTTATTCATGCACAAGTAACGTTTGGATTTTTGTAAAACAATGGAGTGAATGCTACACATGCACAGAAATAATGTTTAGGGAGTGAGCTGTCTTGGTGGAGGTTTGCGCTCTGAGTTGCTTTTGTTCTATTTTAGGATGTGTTAGTGTGGAAACCATCAACATAAGCACAAATTCTGAGGAAAGTCTGACTGTCCTCCCGCTGCTAGTCCGCTCTCAAGAAAGTACCTCTGTATCCTCCTCACCTCATAGCTGGGCATCCTGTTCATTAGAGTTGCTGGGGGCGTCCCTGTCAGACGCAGTATGTGCTGAAGCTGGTTTATATCTTTGAAGTTTGTGTCAAGGGGAGTATAGTGACAGAGCAGAGTTAGTTAAGAAGCTGTGTCTGGGGCTAAACTCCGGGTCACGAGTCTCCGAGCTTTGAGCCCAGAAAAAAACTAAACTAAAGCTTAAGTATCATCAGAATTAGAGGACATGACAACACTCCTCATTACAGGCACACAGTGAAAGATGAAATCACCTGTGTAACAATGATCTCACAGCAAACACTGCTTAATGCTCTTCAGAGGAAGCAAAGCACACCCACAAGGCTAGAGGGTGAAAAACATGCTGCCATTACAAAGCAGATATTTCCATCTGAACCACACTGGAGTGCAGAGTTTAGAGTAGAAATATGGTTAGACAGAGAGGGGGGAGAAAAAACAAAAAACAAAACTTGCACAGCTTTGTGAACTCACAGACTCTGAAGAGATTTTCTTCAAGAGCTCTGGACCTGGTTTTCCGACGAGCAGCATGATTAACTTCAACTGATCAATATCTACCAGCACACGGTAAAGGAAGACCAGACGCCGCACGTGGGAACATCTTTAATCGGACCTCCTTTAAGCTATGTAATAATCAATCCCATCATCTTTACATTTCACACACAGGAGGAGGGAAAAAAGGAATCTGAGATGTTTCCTGTGGAAGACATTGAATTCATTTATATTGGGTGCTTTTAATAGAAAATGATTGGAGGCGGTGGGCAGCCTAGTGGAGGTTAGCTACCAAATACTGGCAAAAGAAAAGAGAAAGAAACAGGGTGGTGCAAGGAAAGAGAGTGAAAGTGTACCTGAGCCAAAGATACACACTTAAAATATAGAAAGAGTCATAGTGCCAAAGTGGAAAAATTACTGTGCATGTGTCAAGTGAGAAGAATGCGTGATCGCTCTTCATGAGAAAACGCCTCAGGCAGAGTCGTGTTGAAAGGGAAAGGCGGCTTTCCGTGTGAGAACGGAGAAAAGCAGTATTGCAGATTTATTGCAGACAAATCAGCGCGCCTCCACATCATCATCAGTGTGTGTTGGATCAGTTTCATTTGTTATGTAAATTGTTTGTCAGCTGCAGGAGTTCATGGTGTGCACAGCGAACTGTCAAATGAAAAGGATACGGTCAGTGCCGGGAAACAGAGCACGTCCAGTGAGAAGTTCTGCCATTATACATCCCACAGACCAAATATCCACTGAAACACAGAAGGTCAGACATTATACCCAGAACGCTCTTCTATTTACAGGCGGATCACAGAGGGGAGCTTCTTTATGCCGTCTACCTGTCATGTTGTAATGCATCCAGTTCAACATGATCTCTGGGGCACGGTACCAGCGGGTCGCCACGTAGCCGGTCATCTCGTCGTCGGTGTGTCGTGCCAGACCAAAGTCCAAAATCTGACAATTTAAATGCAAAAAAAAGGAAGACTTAAAACAAACAAATCATTTACATTTGTAGGCAGTTTTGAGATAAACTGATGTTTCAAATAAAAGCAGCGCTTCACTGACCTTCAGCTCACAGTCTTCATTCACTGCAAGGTTACTTGGTTTCAAATCCTGTGGTAATTTAAACCAAGATGGTGAGATGAAGTAAAAGATGAGTCTTACATCATTAAAAATTTAATCTAAAGTCAAAGTGTTATGACTTCCTTTCTTTTCACAGGATTAACAAGTCTGACTTTGCACAGTGAAAGAAGTCACAAACCCCAGGACGCTTCATGTCCTCCTGTTCAACGACTGTCTGACAAAAGTTACTATAAAATGAAACGGCACTTACTCGATGGATGATGCCTGCTGAGTGAATATACTGCAGAGAGACGGGAGCAGACGTGTCAGATTACATCATGTGTTTACAGATGGACTAATTTAACACAACAAGGAGATACAGGACACGATGTAAAAACATTAGATAACTATCACTGAAGGAACTCCTTCCTTAGAGGTAGATAATATAATGATACCACTCTCATATCTGTACATTAAATATATGGCGCTAGGAGAAGGTCATCTTTGCCTACAGTAGAGAATGGAAACATGGAGGGCAGCTAAGGCCTTGATTACACTCTGCTGTGGACACGGACAGCTGTAGATACAAGAGCCGAGTCACCGTTCCTGTTATGCTTCTTGAACCTCTGCCACCTGTGGTGCAGCTGTAGTTGGTGCTTTGTCATGCAGTCACACAAAAAATTTACGCCTCTCGGACCAAAGCAGATTCACAAACACATCTCAGTTCAAAGGTCAAATCCTTTTCCTAGTACCTCAGAACAGGTGTAGTGTATAAGCACCGCCTGAATGCCAGAAAGAACTTGTTGTTTACCTAAACTAACTATTAATACAGATAATAACTGATCTGTGACGCTATTTGCCAATTTAGTTTTTACTGTAACAAGAGCAGTGAAGCTTGAGTAAACACGATTTGTAACTGAACACAGTTAAGACAATAAGTAAAATCCTCATCACTGAAAGTACAAACAGGTGGAACTCAGGAGTGATTCTAACCTTGGCGGCCGACAACACTGCACACAATGGTAGACTGGTGCAGACTGACCAAGTGAATAAGACATTTAAAAAAGAAGATTTTTGATGAGAAAGCGGTTTTTAAACACGCAGAGAGACAAAGCTGTGCAGGAAGTGGGATTTTATCACAGCAGAGATAAGAGGGAATTCATTACAATGTGTTTCAAACGTCATCTTTTGCTTCTAGTTCAGTGAATTTTGGTCAAAGAGAGACAAAACTGAGAGATGGGGGGCTCTGCGCTTTGTGTTTACCTGTTTTTTAATCGTTTGTTGTTTTAGCCATTAGCTGGTTGTTGAAACTGGTTTTGTGGGCTTTTTGCTGAGATTCTGACCTTTCTGCGAATGCCATAGGTGTCTGTGTTTAAATAACAGATCTGGCGGTACATCCCGTTAAACCAGATGTTCTCCCCCCTGATGGGGTTCAACAGGTTAAATGTTTATTGCTTAATTACTTTGCGTAGTGTGAATGACAATAAGGGAAGTTTTTATCAGTAGGAAAAGCTGTAAAACCTACGAAAATATAGTTAAAAGTCCAAAATTTCTGCTTGAGGCTGTTTGTGGTAAGCAACAGATCAAACTTATTAACATTCAGGCCTGTCAGACACTCGGACACTGAGCCATGGCTCTGTGCTAAGCTTTGTAATCATCAATATCATTGAAATGCAGCCAGGTGCTGCTCATTTTATTCATTTCATCACTTTTCCTCAACACGCTTGCATTAAAATCCGGTTGCCCCGTCTCTCTGGTTACCCGGCCTGTACCACTACACTTGTCGTCTTGGAACGTCTGCCCCCCTTCCTTCTTTCAATAATGGTATGATCCCAGTCTGTCTTTGCATGCATTTGGCCACATGGTGTGCCCATCAAATTAAAGTCCCATCCCTGCCTGCACGGATTCTCAGCAGGGCTGAAGATTAGTCTGCTACATACAACCCGGTCATTAATAACTGACATGAAATTATCTCACAGGCCAGATACAATTGTCCACGGGCCATACGTTTGACACCGCTGCTCTAAACCACAGCAAACCTGAAGAGATTTCACTAGAATCTCCAACACAGTCCGACCACTAAGGACAGGAAACGGAGAGTTGCATTTATTGTGAAGCACTTTCTGATTTTTGTCTGTGATAAGTGCTATACCAATACATTTTGCTTGCCCAGGTTAGCTAGCAGACACTTAGGACTCTAGCATTTGCTAAGCTGACCAGATATGAGGGTGGCATCAATCTTTATCTTGCTCAAGAAAAAGGAAATAAGCACATTTTCCACAACTTCAATCATTCCTTTAATCTCACCTTTAATCCTCGGAGGATCTGGTATATGAGAAACTGCACGTGGTCATCGGTGAGCTTTTGACATTTGACTATGTTGTTGAGATCTGCCCCCATTAGATGAGTCACGAGATACCTGCCAAAGCAGAAAAGATTGTTGTCCCAGCTTAAACAGACCAGTGTCAGAAGCCACGCCAGTGTTTCTCACGTCATTAAAAAAAAATACTAATGTCATAAAATGTATTTGCACTTCCAAACTAATAATTTCAGAGCTGTTTGCAGCCTGTGCCTAATTTCCCCATATGGCTATGTGAGCTTAAACCGGTTTAGCTGCTACTTCTTTTCACTCTCGCGTCTCTCGAGAGGCACCGAAAGGCCAAGCCCTTCACAAATGGAATGTCATTTAACAACACACCCCAGATAAATGGGCTTAATAGTACTGCATCAGTGGATAATTCAAATCTAATCCCAAAGCTGTTTAAAATGCCCAAACAGCACTTATGGAAGGAGTCTGCAGCGGGATGCTAGACGGGCACTTTCAGAGCCAAAACTCACAGAGCCACGTGCTGCTTCGTCAGTCCGCTGCACAACAAATACCCGTTTCATGAATACTCTTCTATTCTCACACAGTACAGAGAACGAGGGCTTAAAATAGCATCTGGTTGTGCTTGAACTTGTTCTCAACTGCAGACATAAGGACACAGACACTCGCCTAAGTTCATTCGCCTTGGGGGGGGAATAGATACACACACGTATATAAAATATGAATAGTGACCGCTCTTCTCCTCTCTCTAAAGAAAGAGGGGCATGGCTAGAGCGCTGAGGAGTCTGAGGTCATACCCAGAGCACCTGAACAGTTGACATTTTTACTTATTTTTACGTTGCATGCAGAAACTTTACAGCGTTTGGCAGATATGCTCTGGAGAACAGTGCCAAACACTGCAAAAGGCATGCCAGCCCACTGACTCACCCCCTGTTCTCTTTCCCACAGGGGTCCAGCTTTACATGCTCTACATGTGTGACCTTGCATTGCCTCGAGTCCTCCATATCATTATGCTTTTCTGGGAGGAGGGCGGGGCTTCTTGAGTGGACGGCTCTCCATTACAACAGCACACAGATGCTGCCACTCGAAGTATGAAGACAAAATTCCAGCAAGTCATTAAAGTGTTCAGTTTCAATCTACTTCAGCAGTTTAGCATTGCGGGCCCTCTTATTTTGTTAGTCATACATTTGTCTTCCCTTTCAAAGGCCCTGTGCCTACATTTCCCAAGAAGCAATGCAACTGCAAACAGTTTATTCCACATTTCAGTGCGTCACACTTCGAGCTGCAAGCCTGCAGCAGAGATGAGCACACGTGGTTTGAAATTATGCTGCACTGACAAGAATCGTCTTTACATAAACCTACCAAGACCTAATGGAGTTTAATGAGTGAAAACCACAAACCACAGCCTCTGGGCTAAGAAATAAATGCTAACAATAAATAAATAAATAAATAAATAAATAAATAAAGTGCAATTCTTAAAGGGGCCACTGGAGACTTAAAAAGCAAAAAAATAAACAAAAATAATAAATAAATATAATCCTTAAGACTTTAATATTAAAATTCCAAATTTACATACATTGAAAACCTGATGATGGCCAAGTATAAGAAAGTAGTTTTACCCTCTAGTGTTTTATCCCTTCATTGCAACTTTATGGTAAATGGACCGATTCTTATAAAGTGATTTTTATGGCATTTCTTTCACTGTTAGGTTTTGGTTAAGTTTAAAAGTCCCTCTGCTCTGTGGCAAAGAAGCGCACACGCCTTAGCTGGCAACCCTGCACGCGACCTTCTCATCCAAATATGGTCACTTCTGGCTCAAAACAAATTTAACACGCTGGTGCCTAAACACCAGAAGTGATGCTTCAAAATGCAGAATTTAGAAAGCAATGAGTGATGTCATATTGGCTCCGCCCATCTTTTATATTCAACTGGGTCATCAGAGGCTGGAATATATCCCTACAAGAGGCAGGGTATGGCATCTACCCCTGTAATCAATTTAAAAACTACCAATACTCTCTGGACTCTGAGAGGACTCTGAAGAACTGGGAAAACTGCAACACAGGAAGTGTGGAGTGTCAAACTCCACTCTGAAGGCCCCAGCCGACCCACAGGCTCAGACCCCGAGCCTTCCAGCTGTGAGGTAAGAGTGCACTGCTGTACCGCTGCAATTTTAAATGTCCGATATCATAGAGGGGAAAAAAAATTTAGGAAAAATATTGCACAAAGATTTAATCAACTTTCGAAAGGTTGTGCAGACACAATACGTCAGAGAGGGGGAGATACTCGGGAAGATGATGGATGAAAAATGAGAAAACTTCACTACTTCAAATCTCTGCATGAGCCTGAGTCATCTATCAGAAGCCTTTTCCACACTCTGAATTTAAATTGTGTTAACTGTGTGATCTGACTGAGCTGTCAGAGAAGCTTTTGAACAAACACAGGCTGCATCATCCTTATAAATTATTACATGAATAAAACTGTGATATACCTCCAAATGATTATGAAAAAAAAAAAATCTAGCTTGTGTTTTGCACTATAAACACAACGTCATGCAAGTTTCACGGCACTTCAAATCACATGATGCTCTTCAAAGGAGGTTTGGTGTTCCAAGGAAAAAGTCTCATTTATTCCTCTTTCTTCACATGAGCCTGGATAGACTGACTGATGTTGAGATCAGGGCTCTGTTGCAGGACTCCCTGTTGTTTAGGACTCTAATAAAATTTAAGTTCATATAACTAAAGAGCTGATGCAAAAGTAACACATAACCTTTAACAAAATTGAGCACAGACACTTTCACAGAAAACTACATAAATTTATTCATTTGATTATTGCATAGTTAGACTTAGTCACCCTCCAATTACTCACCTCCACAGAGAGCTGACTGACCTACTGTCTCAGCCAAATAACTTCCTGGGGAAATCCCAGGACAGACTGCCCTACAATCTTATCTTTGCACAAGTGGATCGAGTTTATTTCCATATTTGTTACTGCTTCTTACTTCAGCCAGTAGAGCAGTAATAGAGAGCCCAGTGCAAATGTCCAACATTTTCAAGTAATTGGTAGCAAATCTCAAATTAGAGGTTTGTGATGCAGCCGAGAACCAAGTTAAGAGTTTATATAAAGTAGGTAAAATAAACATTAAACGTGTCACCAAATATATCTCTAAATAGGGCTGTGCGATATGACCAAAATCTCATATCCCGATATAAGAATTCTATCGTCCCGATAACGATATAAATCACAAAAATGTAACATTTTCTGT